AACACACCGAAAATGATCGATACTGGGGAGATGGAGGAAATGGGGAAGGAAAAAACAAGTTAGGTAAGATCCTGATGAAAGTTCGAGATAAACTGAGGAATGAGTTGAAATGATGAACAATGAATACCGAATGTAAAATGAAAAATGAATAAGCTTCGCTTTCCGAAGTTTACGAAGGAAAGTCTTAAGTGTCTTTAAGAGAGCGAAGCGAATGGTCTTGAAATCTTAAAATCATGAAAATTGAATTGATACATGGTGATATCACTACAGTTGAGTGCGATGCGATTGTTAATGCAGCGAATAGTTCACTCCTCGGTGGAGGTGGAGTTGACGGAGCAATTCATCGAAAGGGAGGTTCGGATATTCTGGAGGAATGCAGAATGATTCGAGCCAGACAAGGAAAGTGTCATACCGGTGAGGCGGTGATTACCACGGCTGGGAATTTACCAGCAAAACATGTGATTCACACAGTAGGCCCTGTCTGGAACGGAGGAAACAAGAATGAGGAGGATAACCTAAAATCTTGTTACTTGAATAGTTTGGTGCTCGCTGAGAAAAATGGATGTAAATCAATTGCATTTCCAGGGATTAGCACAGGAATTTACAAGTTTCCAAAAGAACTAGCTGCGGATATTGCTATTTCAACTGTTAGAGCATTCCCTGTAAAACAAATTGAAAAGGTGATTTTCGTGTGTTTTGATCCGGAAAGCTTCGGGATTTATCAAAAACGACTTACTGGAAATGATGAATATGAACGATGAATGCAGAATACTGAATGTGAAATGAAAAATGAATAAGCTTCGCTTTCCGAAGTTTACGGAGGAAAGTCTTAAAATCATGATCAATGAATAACGAACAAAACATATTAGCCGAGCTGAAGAAATGGAGCGGAGTTCCTGTCTACGAAAAGTGCGTAAAGCACTGTCATGCAAAGCATGTACACTCGTTGGTGTTAAGAGAGTTAGAAGATGGTCGCTTGTTACGTGTGTTCGTTGCAGTTGATGGGAATGAGTTGTATAAAAACGATCACCGAAATGAAGAAGTGATGTCAGTTGGATACCATAATCACCGATATGATTTAGAGTTGATGGTGCTCAAAGGGAG